AAACGTCGATGAAGTAGTTCCTGGATCCATTTCAGCATCTCCGGGGCTAGCAGTCACTCCCGTCTCGCCTTGTCTTGCATTTACCTCGTGGAAGTCCACGAATGGGACTTGCTCATGTGATCCTCCTGGCCCTCCGCGGAAGTTGATGTCCTCGATGTAGTCGTTCGCAAAAGGTAGTTCATCATCTTCTTGCCAGTCGGTGAGGATCTGTCTTTTCCTTTTCCTTTCAGGCCGTAGTTCAAGAGCATGTCGCTTCAAGACTTCTGCTGTGGTTGCCGGCCTGCATGAGGTCTCTGCCACCAAAATGGCGACACTTGAGTGCAACAGCCAGAGTGAGGATTTTCCTTCATGAGCGAGAACTCTGGTAGGTCCATACCATTTGCCTTTCTTGTTGAAAGAAACCAATCTCCCCAACGGTATGGGCCCCTCATAGGAATGCTCTTCCGGAGCATGCCTTTGCGCACTCGTTGAGAGGTGTTAAGCTTGATGAGAGCTTCCTTTGCCCATTGACGAATCAGCAGTTGCTTTGCAAAGGAATCTTGTGCTCCCTCTTCGGCATCCAGCAAGCTCTGGTGTAGGGCAAGACTCTGCTCCAAGTCGTTGTTGTTCAGGGAAGTGATGTCCTAAAGTTGATAGCCCATCACCCATTGAGACGGTGAGTAGCCGTGCTGGTTGATGAAGAGATTCTTCACCCTTGCCGATTCTGAGCACAGAGCTGCAATGTCTTCAACTCCTTTGATCTGCCGTTCATGGATGGCACGTTTCATGATCTCCTTGAGCAATCCTCCATGACGTTCTCCAACTCCAAGTTGATGAGGTGCTCGAGCTCCAGTCTGCCGGATGGTAGTGCCCATCACGGTAAGGAGATGTGCCACTTTTCCTCTGTTGTGGACTCCTTAATCTGCCACAAAGAAGGTGGGCGCTCCAGCCCAGGCAATCCAGGAGACGTTCAAGGCATCAGCGCATGCCTTCGAGCTGGGTGTTCCTCCTCCTGCAACCCGAACTGCCACATGGAAGCGCGTGGTCAAATCAACCAATGACAGGATGGAATGGCGGTGATGCTCACTATCGTGGATCTCAAAGACATCCGCCGAAAGCTCATAGTTGAAGTGCATCTGTGAAGATGGCCTTGTCTCCTTTGTCACACGCGGATGCTGGTCTTTCTCCGTCTCCTTGCACACCTAACATTGGAAGAACTTCACTGCATCGATGACATCCTTGTCTGTTGTAGCTGCCACCAGCATTCTCATCAAAGCAGCATTTGAGCAGTGGTCAGTCATGGTGTGAAGACGTCGAACAGCCAGCCGCTTTTCTCTGGGAAGGCTAAGCCAGCCTCGCCGCCTCTTCTCTTCTTGTTCCATCACCAGGCGGTCCTCTTTGGTCTCATGCGTTGATTGCTCCAAAAGCATTTCCTCGCGTTGAAGTTCAGGTTCATCGATTCGGCGCTTCTTGACCAAAGGTACCAGGTCTTGTTCTAAATGAATGCCGTCCATGCCGCCCATTTCTTCATGCCTTTCAAAGACCTCCTCAACAGGAAAGGCTTGATGGAGTGTTCTATAGAGCAGCTCTTCATAGGCGCCGGACAAAATGGCATGACAAAGCTCTTCTGGCCATTGTTGTGCAAGGCGTGTGCGATTGCTGCCTTCTAACTGCTGATGCTCACGAGATCCATCGCATTGCTTGTTGAGCCTCTTCTTCATGAAGTGCGATGAAAGCATCAGCCCAGTGTTCTTCTTGTGAGGTAGTCCATTCTGAGCATCACGAAATCCATATTGACATTGATCTATCTTTACCACCTCAACTGGCATGGTCTCCTCATGGAAAGGATTCGAAGCCAGAAAGTCTTCGAGACACTTGACCAGGGATATTCCATCATCACGCGCAGCCCTTTTCTCAAGCGAGACTTGAAAATGTCAATGAGCCACCTGAATACTGGATACCATCTCTGGCGCTCCTCCCTCACATAGTTCTCGAGCTCCTGACTCTTGTTGGCATTGATATTCTGCCAGGGTGGCCGGGGTCCCCGCTTTGGCCCAGCGATCAGAATGAAGGGATCCATGTAATCGATGTAATCACCAATTATCTGACGATTGGAGGACTTCAGCAGATCATGACCAGGGTCATAGCAGACATCAATGGGTCGTCCAACAGGAAGGCCCCAAGCAGCAACCATGGTTGTCAGAATGGCTGCTCCAGCAAACAGCTCCATCAGGAAGCATCGACATCCAGATGGTAGGAGTCTTCCAGGTCGTCGTAGACCTTGATGATGACGAAGCGTGCCCCATAGTGCAAGGTCTTCCTTGTGCACAGCTTCCGTGGATTCAGTCATCATCTTCCGTTGTCCTCGAGTCATGACTTTGCGAGGAGACTCAGCCAGGTTGACATAGCTCAGCGCGTCCTCCTCCTCAATCGTTGACTTATCGAGTCGGCTCTCCTGGCTTGAGGTGTCCATCGAAGTGCTCTTCTGAGATGAAGTGCAGTTGGACGTCATAGGGCTCGACAATGATGATGTGTTGCTAGGCGAAGTAGCGTCAGTGGCGTTTAAGCTCATGTCCACATTGTCTTCTTCTTGGGCTGAGGAAATCTCTGCCTGGAGTGCCATGTCCGTCTCATCTTCAGTGGAAGGGATGAGACGAATCGCAGGAAGGCCATCACGGTCAACCAACTCCAGGTACTGGTTCATGCGCTTGCTGTAGACGGTGTATTCCTCGGTGTCAATCACCAAGCCAAGTGCCTTCTGAGCTCGGGCGCTGAGCAAAAGAGGTGCTTCACTTCTAGAGAGCTCAGTGGAGGTGATGGTGCCAGAAGCGATGTCTCCGTTCTTGAGTGCAAAGAGAACCGGAATGCGACGGAGTCCGACCACTTGCACATTGCCTCCAACTCCACGAACTCGACCTTCATGAGGCAACAGCTCAAAATGCTCTCCACTCAGCCGCATGCAGTCCTTAATCCATCCAGCACCGTGGCATGTACTATTGCATCCAGTGTCAAGGATGCAGAAGAGCTTGTCTTCTCCCGATGAATGGCCATGGAATGCCATCATGGCCGCTTGGCCTCTCACCTTGATGTACCTGACATACTCAAGGAGCTGCGGGTTCTTGATCTTGTTGGCCTTGATTTGACCAAGTAGGTAGGTGCCATAGGAGTGCTCCGTCTCAACGATCATACGGAAGGTCTTGCCTTAGTGCTGACCAGTCGTCATTTTCTCGGCATCCCATGCTTCCAAATCTTGGACCAAAACATCATGTGGTCCCAAAGTCGGATCACCCGGTGTTGAATACTCAAGGAGCTGCGGATTCTTGATCTTGTTGGCCTTGATTTGACCAAGCAGGTAGGTGCCATAGGAGTGCTCCGTCTCAGCGATCATACGGAAGGTCTTGCCTTTGTGCTGACCAGTCGTCATTTTCTCGGCATCCAATGCTTCCAAATCTTGGACCAAAACATCACGTGGTCCCAAAGTCGGATCATCCGGTGTTGAGGGCGCAGAACTGGCAGATCCTCTGGTGTTCGGAGTGTGGTACTCCTGAGTTGACGAAGGCCTCGCTGGCGTGGAAAGAGCATGAGGTGATGCCGCAGCCGTTGAAGTCCTCGGGACTATTGGTACTCCATAGATCATATCTTTGCAGCGACGATAGATCACGTCCAAGTCGTCCCCCGTGACCACATTGTGAGTCTGCCTCTGGATGCTGATGGTCAAGGTCATCAGCTCAAGCACCTTGGATGGTGGATCATCCAAATACCAATCGGCAACAGCGCCAACTCGAAGAGGTGCAATGTCAGCTGCCTTGGCACCAGTTTCACCAGGATTCTTGAATCCAATTGCGGTCTCTCCGCAA